TTCAGGGTTTAGGGATTCAGGGTTTACAAGCCCATAGATCCCAATGTCGACGCATGCCGATGAGTCCAGAAACCCGGGCAGCTTCATTCATGATCCAACTACAATCTTCAGCTCTAAACCCACATAAATCATAATGAGACCCGTGATTCCCATATCATTTACCCTAAACCCTAAACCCCAAACCCTACACCCACATAAATCATGATGAGACCCGTGATTCACATATCACTTACCTTCCCTCTTTGAGTCTCTTTGAATCCTGAGCCCTAAGCCCTAAAAGAGGCTGACCTCAAAGCCTAGGCCCTAAACCCTAAAACCCTAAAGCCCTAAAACCCTAAACCCTAAACCCTAAACCCAAAAACCCTAAAGCCCTAAACCCTAAAACCCTAAAGCCCGAAAACCCTAAACCCGAAAACCCTAAACCCTAAACCCCAAACCGTTAGGACCTTCGAGGTGGGATCCGTGTCCAAGCGGCACCGGTACACCAGCGAGGAATGAGACCATGGGCAGCTGCAGAAACGAGTGGTGAAGGGCCTCAACGAGCAGCTCCAACAGCGTGATGAGCAGCTACCCTAAACCCTAAACCCCGAAACCGTAAACCCTAAAAGCAGCTAGAGAGATTCGACACACGAAGCACTTGGCAATTTAGGGTTTAGGGTTGAGGGGTTGAGGGTTTAGAAGTTTAGGGTTTAGGGTTTGGGGTTTAGGGTTTAGGGGTTTAGCCTTTGATATCTTCAACCCTACACCCCGCTGAACCCTGCGGCCTCGAACCGAAAACGCGAAGCAGCGCACCAGTAATTCCTACGGTTGCAGTGCGCAAGCATTCCTCACGGATCCCAGTGCCGCCAATGAAGGATTGTTCGTTCATTCACATAGATCAGCCCCCTTGTAGTTCACCATTCACCATGAAGCAGCCCCATGTAGTTCGAAGGGAGTATTCATCGAAACAGCCTTGGATAATCTAACGTTGCATCCTCTAAGATCTCCAACCCCAAACCCAGAAACCCCCTCCACGCCAAACCATAAACCCTGAACCCAAAGCCCTTAAACTCTAAACCTAAGAGAGGTGCTGCGTGCCAAAGGCGCCTGGGTGGCCGTTGTGGGAGGCACGTCCTCGCGGCGGCGCCGCGCTGCGGCGCTGGGTGCGGACATGGTGCGCCGGGGGGGGGGGTTGGGGGTTTCGGCGGGTTTTGGGGTGTAGGGTGTAAGGTTTAGGGTTTGAGGTTTAGGGTTAAGGGGTTTAGGGGGGGTTGGGGTGTAGGGCAGGGTGTAAGGTTTAGGGTTTGGGAGTGAGGAGGTGTAGGGTTCAAAGACTCGGAAAGGGGTTTAGCAAGGTTCTGAAAGGGTTTGGAGATATGCTTTCAGGGCTTGGGAAAAGGGGGCCGCACAGTAGATTATAGGAAGTTAGGACTTTGGGGGTTTACGGTTTCAAGGGCTTGCGGTCGAGGGGTTGAAGCGGCTTAAAGAATTACCAATACCATGTTCGGGGCCGTACTACACTTCTAGCATAATACACCTCAAGACCCTATTCCAACTATGAAGGCCTCTGTATTACGGTTTGTGCTTTCGCATCTGGAGTTTCGGGTTGGGGGGCAGGCTTCAGGGAGGCCAAGGATCTGGGGTTCAGGTTTAATGGCTTACGGCATAGGGGTGTAAGGTTTGGGGGTTAGGGGTTTCGGGTTTAGGGTGGTGCCACGTTGCCAGAATCATAGCATCATGGGCTTCTGCAGGCCCTTGCCAAAACTGCCAAAGCAGAACACCCCAACCCTGGACAACATCTGTATTGAGTCTTCGAACTCTATGAGTATACCCAAAGCTCTAACCGGCTGTTGAATAGACAAGGAACAAAATGCGGTCACTAGTTTTTGAGGCTCCTGCCATAACCCTTGAACTCATGCCAGCAACCGCCCGAACCCTAAGCCCTAAGCCCCGAAACCCTCAACCCTAAGCCCTAACCCTAACCCTAAGCCAAAACCCAAAACCCAAAACCCAAAACCCTACACACAAAACCCTACACGCCCTACACCCTGCACCCAAAACCCTACACACCCTACACCCCTACACCCGGAAGGTGCTGAATGCGTCAGATGGCCCCGTGTCCTTGGCGGAGTCCCTGGCCAGCAAGGACCGAAGCGGAGGTTTAGGGTTTAGGGGTTTAG